TATATATATATATATATATATATATATATAGTGCATGACCTATCTCATGAAAGGTCGACTGAAACTCTGAAATGCGTTTTCGATTGGGAAGGATTACTTGGTCGCGGTTGTGATACTGATTATCTTAAGGCATACTCTTATAACATTTTGGACTCGGCTGGATGTCGGCTTTTAAATGCACTTCTTTCCAATCTCCTGTAGAAAGGGTGCTCGGTAAAAACTGACTACTTAAGTAGCATGCATTTTTCCCATTGATTTTCGATGGTCTTGGAAATTCAAATATATTTTATAGAAACCACAAACAAAAATATGCTTTCTTTTAGTCATTCATTAGAGAATCACGTCGTTTTTATATTTTATACTTAAGGAAGGAGTATAATTAGGTTTAAAAAAGTTTCTAATTATGAGACTTTTTAAGACCGCGATATGTCCATTCACATAGCATCGTACCTGGCCGTTTACCACTGCTCTCATGAAATGTACAACATGGTCCGCATCCATTGCAAAATTTTATGGACCCTGTATGATATCTATTTAATGACATAGAAAAATATAGGATTTTCTTTACGCGGAACGCATGCACCTTGCAGAGTGTAATCACTAAGCGCTAATTCAACGAATGACCAGGCTCCAAATTATTCGGCAATTAGAAAACTTTTTTAAAACCTAATTACATTCCTTCCTTAAGTATAAAATATAAAAACGACGCGATTCTCTAATGAATGACTAGAAGAAAGCATATTTTTGTTTGTGGGTTCTATAAAATATATTTGAATTTCCAAGACCATCGAAAATCAATGGGAAAAATGCATGCTACTTAAGTAGTCAGTTTTTACCCAGCACGCTTTCTACAGGAGACAGAAAAGAAGTGCATTTTAAAGCCGACATCCTACCAAGTCTAAAATGTTATAAGAGTATGCCTTATGATAATCAGTTCACAACCGCGACCAAGTAATCCTTCCTAATCGAAAACGCATTTTAGAATTTCAGTCGACCTTTCATGAGATAGGTCACGCACTGTATATATAAGCATGTCAAGTGGGCGTTTGACCCTCACTGTTGTGGTCAGGATCTCACTCGATCCCATTCTGTCCGCCCGCCAGCTTGCTACTGGCGACAACGAACGCTGTGTCAGAGGACACATACCACATATAATACATGAGCAGCTCGCTAAGAGTTCGTTGTCGCCAGTAGCAAGCTGGCGGGCGGACAGAATGGGATCGAGTGAGATCCTGACCACAACAGTGAGGGTCAAACGCCCACTTGACATGCTTATATACCTCACTTCATAAGGCCTATGACGTACTTATGATCGGTAACGACCGTGAAACAGCTGTCTGCGTCTGGCCTGTTGCACTCTTAGCGAACTGCTCATGTAATATATATATATATATATATATATATATATATATACTGCGGGTAGGTTGTACGTCAGTCGTTTTATGGAAAACGTTCGCCCTTATGTCTTGGAACTCAGTCTTAAACCCTCAGGGGCAGTGGCACAGCAATACGTACTGAGAATACATGTACATGCATGCGAAAACTCCCCTCTGTCGAATTATGCGTCATATGTTGCCGTCGAGTACGACTGAGGAACACTAATTCAATAATGTAATTTGTCAAATTATCCTTTAGCTTTTAGGCGACTGACTACATTCTTGCGTGCATCCCACTCCAGAGGGGGTATTTTCCAACGTTAACAATTTCGCCAACCGGCCTCCACATTACTAAAAATAGTGTTCGTTTTAATCTATTTTAGGCAGATTTCTTTATCTTCTCACCCCCCCCCCCCTTCGCCGCAAAAGTCCCTCCTCTCGAAAACGGACGTCTTCTTGGATTTCACGTGAATTTCATTTGGATTGTAATAAATAAAGGAAAAAAAACAAAAATAAATCAAGGGAAGGGGAAAATCATTTGAAACATAATCCAACAGTAGTCAAAATATCAAGGATTGGGGCACAGCCAGTCTACCAGTCTATAAGACATCAAAGAAGACTGCAACGGCCCGCCCACGATCGTCCTCTCTCCACCTGCCCCTAGCCGGGGCGCTGACACGCCTCCGCAGAAGTGGCAACTCACTGGACTGCTCCCTGTCCGCCTTCTCGTTGAGGGCATTTGAGGCGTTGGAGGACTCGTCGATTGTCATGCGCGCAGCCTGGGAGAAAAAGCCGTTGGGCAGGGACTTGCGGTGGCTTCTGTAGTCCTCCACCAATCGATGAAGGTCCAGCAGGTACTTTTCAAACAGCAAGTCCTCCTTGGGTACTTCCTGCCGGACGAAATCAACCAGCCGGAAGAGGTAGTCCACGTTGGGTCCGCAATGGCCGGTGGCCTTGGCTATCTGGTTCGCCTGTCAGGAGAGAGCGCAGGAGAGCACAATAAGTCGGGCTTTTTAATTGGGTTGCAGACAAGAAGAGGTCTACACAGACAGAGGGCGGCCTCACCTGAACCTCCAACGGGGCGTCTCCAATGTACTGTGGGTTTCCGGGTTCTGCAATGTAGACCTGTACGTTAAATCGCGCTGGCTCCTTCGCCAGTTGCAGGTCCTTGCTCCATTCGTCCTCAGGGCTGTCGGGTGTTGCAAAGGTAAGTTTGCGCGCGATGAAGGCTACCTCATCGAACCGATAGCCACCGGTGATCATCTCACGTTCAGCGAGGTGTTCCAGAGCAGCATCAATGTCCTTGCGTCCCTGGATCTCGTAGGTGACGCCCCAGACACGTGTTTGGGCGTTGCGAGCGGGGACCAGTGTGGCAACACGGCCGGGCTAAAATGGGAGGAAAGTGGTGATTGACGACGCCGTCGTCAGGGGCGCACGTGTGAAGATTATCTACGGTAGTGCAGCTCAGCTACGATGTGGCTGTTTTCAGCTTCAGAGGCAATCAAGGGCGACGCTGCAGGACTAAAAGATGGAATCGTAAACTGGCCAAAAGCTAGCACACGCAGCCGGGACAACGGCTGACTGGAATTCGTTGAGAAGTCCGGCGTGGTGTGTCGTATCGCGTACCTGGACTGTCCTTCTAATTACATAGATCAAGCCGCCACAGGTTCCGACCATGCATATGCGGGCACGGACGCACAGTGTGAAGGAGTTACCAATTGTCACTAGTGGCTGTCCGAAACTTCGATGAGGATAGTGAACTTAATTGCACGACTGCTGACATAGTTGCCAAAATTTTAAGCAAAACAAGATAAGAATTTATCGATGTCTGAGTATCAACGGAGAATCCAGGCAACCGGAGCCTCGACCTCGCGCCCGCATGCAGGGTCTCACGCAATCACCTCCAGACATGTGGCATTGGCCGTTCATTGGTTAACACAGCACGTAACTGGCGTTTGCCTCGGTGTTGCTGTCAGGTCTTTCAAGTAAATAAATGACCCCGATGGTTGGCAGCTCCCCCCCTCCATATTCTTATGAATTCTTCCGCCAACAGCTTGCGCGTTAGTTGGTGGAATTCTTTCTGACCACGGGAGACTGCGAACCCGCGGACTTTGGGGGAAAGGTAACGCTAAAGATCAATATACTGAGGCCTTCTTCACTGCAATTCTTCCAGTGGAGCGGGAAGTTGCCCGCCAAGACGCCACCACCCGTGGCGGTCGTGGCGTCGGTTGTTATTTGCACTGAATCTCACTGGGCAAAGAACTCCCATTTCCATTCACTAATTTAACTTTCTACACGTTTAAGCCGCAGATTTATTAATGAACATAGTCTCTTAGAGTTCTCGGGAGTTTGGGAAGAACCAAACCTCAGCCCCACGGCTGAAATTCGAATCAGGGACCCCTGGATCGGCGAAAACCGTCCTTGACCACTTGGCAACAGTCATACAGCCGGCTGACACGGACAAAAAGGACACGAACCATTACCATCAGCGTCCGTAATGCACATGTAGTGCCAGACTGTCCAGACCGCTAACGCAAATTCCAGTCGCACGTCAGCGTGGTTAGTTAGCTGCGAAGCCATCATAGTGCGACTGGGGAATCAGCGACAGTAACTCTGGACAGTATTCATCCTACATGCCTCCCTATGTCCACCCCTACGCCGTCCCAAAACATTCAAACATTGTATGATCACCTCCGTTCCAATGTGCATATATTAAAGCTTTCGGTGAAACATCACAGTCCTGGATCCCCTAGTACTATTTCTCTCTACACACAAGCATAAACACGTAGACAGTACGCGGCTCCTTCCGTCGTACGCATTCCCAGGTCAATTAGTATCAAGTACTACATCGCTTATGGAGTAATTGTGCTAGTGGAGTAACCAGCGTGAGAAATCTCATGGGTGAATGCGCACATTTCACCTTCGAGAGAACGGTGTCTGTTGATGATCTGGTCAATTGATGTGGGAGGACACCATGTGTGGCTATCTGAAACGGTAGATCATAGCAAAACAAGCCTATTGCACACTACGCTGAATCTGACATGCTTGAATCTATCGCGCCATATGCCGCGGCTTCAAAGGCCACCAGCTGAGACACTAATTCGCTCAGATTGCATTGCCTTCTTGCTAGTGCAACTCTCATGTAAGTCATTAACTTCTCTGGGATCCGGTTTCATGTGTGTTACGCGATGGACAGTGACTACGCGTCACGTTAGCGACTGCAACCAGTGTCGTTCCCATTCGACTTGACGCTAACAGGTTCTGCCCTATAAGAGAGGTTGATTCAGCACTGGGTGTTTGAACGTATAGTAGGTGGGCTAACTCATGAAATGTCAACCGAAATTCCGAAATGACTAATTAAGTAGGGTAGTAAAACCACACATCGTGCAGCACAATTCTATACTAATCCAGTTACCTCAGGATGCCGGCTTTCGGACAAACTTCTTTCCGGATGCATGTCAAAACTATACTCTGTAAAAAATGACTACTGATAAAGCATGCACTTTTCTCATTGATTTTCGATGCCTCTAAAAATCCAGTAATATTTCAAGGAAAACATGCACAAAATATTCACTCATTCGGTAGAAAATTACGTCTTCTTTCAATTTTGTACTCGAAGGAAGGGTAAAATTCGGTTTTAAAAAGGTTTCTGATTGTGAGATTTTTTTAATACCGTGAAATGGCCGTTCATAAATCGTCATGTCTTTGCATTTACCAATGTGGCTTGTAAAGTTAACAATATGGATCAAATCCAATGTTAAATTTTAAGGACCCCATATGGTCTACTCTTGATACCGTAGCGAAATGCGTGGTTTTCCGTATGCGGAAAATACATGGCTTGCAGTTTGGAAACCTTGAATGCAAGTGCGACGGCGGAGCGTGCTCAAGATTATTCGGGAATTGGAAGAGTTTTTGAAAACTGAATAATAATAAAATTGTAATTGTAAATTGTAAAATTGTAATCATAAAATTGTAAGAAGACGTAATTTTCTACCGAATGAGCGAAAGAGTGAATATTTTTATGCATGTTTTCCATGAAATATAATTGGACTTTTAGAGGCATCGAAAATCGATGAGAAAAGTGCGTGCAGAGTATAGGTTTGGCATGCAGTCGGAACGAAGTTCTTTTGAAAGCCGGCATCCTGCAGTAACTGAATTATTATAGAATTATACTGCACGGTAGTTTTACAACCCTTCTTTAGTAATCTTTTCGTAACGAAAACTCGTTTCGGAATTTCGGTTGATATTTTATGAGTTAGCCCAGCTACTGTAATTCTCTCCTCCCACAATCAGACCCACTTTCAAACTATCACGGCGCGCTACCTGCCGTGCCCTAGAAGGTTGCCAACTGACGGGATAACTCTTCTTTTCCGTATAGAGACTCCTTTATGTTACCGCTTCGACTCCGTCACTTACAGGCGATCCGAGATTTCTGTGTGTTTTGCGTGAAACATGTGAACGGACTGTTTAGCTTTGTCGGTCCCTGTGTTCACACCCCCCCCCCGGCCGTCTTGACTTTGTCATGCTACCGAAAGAAAGTAACTGAGAAAAGATACGAGCAGATGCAGCAAAAGCCTGCGTCATTTTAAGCCAACTCATTTGGAAGCCACAGTCGCGCCAGCTTATGTGGGCAGTAGCGAACCTCATAGCTCGCGATGGTATAACTACCCTGTACTCGTCTGGTTCTGCTTGTAATATGACACATGCTCTTCGTCATCTCGTGGTTGACCTTAAAGGAAGAAGTATTAAAAGATCTAGGGAAGTACTGGCAGGTAAAACCGAATGCAAAAAACACGGAATACAACACACCAACTGGTCCTGCGTAAGAGCAACAAACTACTTAATTACCTAAGTAACTTACCCATTCGGGAGTTCCACGGTGTGTTGTTGTGCCCTGGTAAAACCGCCGGTGGTAGCCCTCAATGTAGCCGATCCAACTGCGTGAAAAAGTAATATTCGGTTTCCAGATCAGCGACCCGTAGCCAAAAATGTATAGTTTGCCCGTCCGGGGGTTAACCATTTGATTTCGCAAGAAACTGACCTTGCGAGTGTAGGGGAACTCGCTAGAGAAGGTGTCCATCGCGCAGGAACCAGGGACCTGGACAAATTTCTGTGTAACTCTGCATGCGAATGCGTGCCTTAAGTAGACGCTCGCTTGAGTGTTTTCATTGGCCCTGCAGTCTGACCAATCAATTTAATTCTACCAGCTGATGACGAAATCCACGTGAAAATTCGGCGGGCCAGTCGTTAGATGCCTGCGCTGGATATACCCCATTAACGGGCGTTGTAGATATGCTATAAGACCGACGTTTGTCAATCTTAAACAGCCAAGCAGAGCTTCTCGTCTGATTAGTGCGCCTCCTCTAGTTTCGATTCATCCTGACGTATACGTTTACGTCAAATAGGCCTTCAAAAGGCTTGGTAGACGGAAGTTGCTATAACTGGCCGGTTTGTCGGCACCAGTTATCCATACAAGGGCTCCAAAGGACGAAGAACTAAACTTAAACTTATGGGTGAAGTTAACCGCTGTTCTGGGACTTATGCGGAATGGAATGTGCTCGTTCCGAAAATACGAGAAGGTCAAGCATTAGCCAGGAAATAAGGAAACGTTCGCAGATGATACGTGAAGAAAGTGCCGATTTGGTAACCAGTACTGCATGCCTATGCAGGTCGAGTATGATGGTTCATAATAAACCAAATCTGGGGCATAGATGACATAGCGCTACTTTCAGGACTTCGCCCAATTGGATATGATGCCATGCAAAAGTATTCGACACTCATGAAGAGAAGAATGGGCTGACATATATAAGACAACAACAGAAAACTGTTTAATTTGAGTTAGTGATCTTCAGCTCACCATCCTCTTTTCGGTCATGAATCAGGAGAGCTTTGACAAATTTAACACTCAGGGGTTAATTATTGCTGTGTACAGTAAACTCCCATTTTTAGAGTCCGAATGAAAAGGGAAGGGGACGTGTTTTCGCTTTGAAACAGATAATTTGACTAACAAGAATACCTCAAACAATTAAGATCTAATAGCACAAGCTAACAACTTGCATTTTCAGAAAACGAAGTGGCGATCATACGTAGCTTTCGATGAATTTTCGTCGGGCCAGTACAGTTATATGGAAACGGGGTAGAAGTAAAACATGCCAGCTATAAGAGAAATCGATAAAAGTTCCCCTTAAAACACAGGTGGGGTGTGGGAATGTGGGGGAGGGGAGGTAATAGCATTTGGACACTGTTGAATTGAGTAATCGACGCGGAAACTTCATTTCCACGGAGTATGTATGAAGGTAGCCAAGAAGACGAAGTTATGAATCAGCACGAACGAAAGAAAAGTGCAGGTAACTTTTCCTGCTGTAAAACAAAAGAAGATATCTATGAGTACTGAAGGGAGCAAAAGCGAACTCATTACAAAAAGCTACATTTGCGAATGTTGCACTGTCGGGAACTATGATAGACATATTTAATGGCCTGTTGAGCAGCTGAATCACTTGTATTTTTACTGAGCATCCGCAACAAGAAATAACAGTCGGTTCTGAGCTTTTAGCCGGTGTCAGCGTAGGCTGTACGACGAAGTTATCTCCAACCCACTAGTTTATTTGCATATTCGTTTGCAAGGATGAGGAAATCCTTCCGCCTCATATTTCCCGTCGCGCACTAAGTGAGCAATCAGTTGACTGGCCTTGACAAGGCTCCTGTCTGCGAGATTCTTGTGCACTACAGACAATGCAGGACCACGTGTCACCTTCCTGGGCCTAGAGTTCCGTAAGCGGCCGCTATGCCATGATCAGCAAACCATGGCCCTCTCAGCCCGGTATGCGTTGGCAGTTCTATGACGACACCTGGAACAATCAGTTGACTGGCCTTGACAAGGCTCCTGTCTGCGAGATTCTAGTGCACTACAAACAATGCAGGGCCACTTGTCATCCTACTGGGCCTAGAGTTCGGTAAGCTGATAGAAGCGGACAGGCGAGTTCCAGGTAGCAGTTCAGAAGACGAAGACGTGATCATTGGAACAAGAAATGTATTGGCCTGACGTTTCGAATTCTCACTCGAATGCATCACCAGAGACAGTCGCAGATAAGGGTAATGGTGGCACAAGGCGTGCAGTATTTATAGAACGTGGCTGCCGTGGGACCATAGATGCACTGTAACTAACAGCTCTCGCAATCACCGCTGGGGTCGTAATTGATGTGCCGGTGGCTTGTCAGTCCGAGTCCGAGTCGTTAATGGCCGTGATTTCGTCATCCGTGCTGGATGCTGGTGTGACGATTGCTCGGCAAATTGGCTCACCGTCACTGGGGTAATTGCTCGCCCGTGCCCTTCCCACGTGACGGATTCCCCTGCCCAGGGAAAATCCCAGCACAGAACACGATAACGGGAGGTCATTGCGCTTGTTGATGGATTGCGGGCCTGAGAACCATGACTCGAGCAGCTCGCGGCTCACGCGGTTGTCACCCCTTGCGAGGATTTCGGCCTCTTAAAATTTGAAAATATGGCCGAATCCCGTCGAGTGTGCCGCCACCTGAGAGCTAGCGTCTCCCCGCCTCACTGCTGCTGCGTGCCCGGCAATTCGCGTACGGAGTAATCTCCCAGTTTCTCCGACGTAGTCGCTTTGTCCGCAACTACAGCAGATCCGGTAAACGACTCCAGACGTTTCCTGCCGTGACAGCGGGTCTTTTGGCTTCACGACTTGGCGTCTAATGGTTGCTTCCGGCCTGTGTGCAACCCCAACTCCAAGTGGAATGAGAAGACGACTGACGGCTTTCGACAGGGTTGCTTTGACCGAAATCGCGAACCCATTGGCGTTCCCTTTACCTGTGATGGTGAATATAAAACAGGGAGACATGCACGGTAACTGATACTCGGAACAAGACCTGCTGTTCTGCAGTTGCGTACGCCAATGGGTTCGCCGACTTCGGGACACATAGCCGAGGCGGTCCTACAACGGCTGGAGTCGCTGGTTTTCCGACACCACAGACCGAAATTCTGGGCTCGGTATGTGGATGACACCTTCGTCGTCATCGAACGGGATCAGGTGCTGACGTTCAAAGAACATCTCAACGCCGTCTTCCCGGACATTCAATTTACGATGGAGGAGGAGGAAAACAATCAGCTGGCCTTCCTGGATGTCCTCGTCTGCCGCAAAGCTTGTGGTGGCCTAAAAACCAAATTGTTCAGGAAAGCGAGAAATACGACGCAAATACTGAACTGCAATAGCAACCACCCGATCAGTCGCAAACGCAGTTGCGTAAGGGCGCTAGACCGGCGCGTTGAGACGCACTGCAATGAAATGGAAGACAAGGTTGATGAATTACAATATCTTCGACGGGTAATGAGAGCCAATGGTTACCCGCGCAACTTTGTCAAACAGTGCATACGAAAAGGACACCAGAGACCAAATCCAACCGGCCCCAAATGTTGGCGGGCTCTTCCGTACGTGAAGAACGTCTCGGAAGCCGTCAGTCGTCTTCTCATTCCACTTGGAGTTGGGGTTGCACACAGGCCGGAAGCAATCATTAGACGCCAAGTCATGAGGCCAAAAGACCCGCTGCCACGGCAGGAAACGTCTGGAGTCGTTTACCGGATCTGCTGTAGTTGCGGACAAAGCAACTACGTCGGAGAAACTGGGAGATTACTCCGTAAGCGAATTGCCGAGCACGCAGCAGCAGTGAGGTGGGGAGACGCAAACTCTCAGGTGGCGGCACACTCGGCGGGACCCGGCCATATTTTCAAATGTCAAGAGGCCAAAATCCTCGCAAGGGGTGACAACCGCGTGAGCCACGAGCTGTTCGAGTCATGGTTCTCAGGCCCGCAATCCATCAACAAGCACAATGACTTTGAAGCGGCACAACAGTGAGAATGAGTGCTCTGAGCGCTACAACCACCAGGTCGAATCCCAAGTCGTGAGGAGAAGACAAAAAGCACCAGAATGAGGGGTTTATTTCGCACCGAACTCGGAGTTGTCCTCCCAGGCGGCAGTGGCCACTGGCGAAGCCAGGGCTGGTGTTGACTGCGTCCAATCAGGCCTGAGAGTCTCTAAGATAGTGGTGGCAGCCGCTTTTGTAGGCTCGTTGGCCAAACTCAAGTGGTGTCCAGTCAGTGTGCGTTGCATTTACCGAGGGGTGGTGTCCCAGTGGCTTGTCTTGATGGTTGCAGGGGGTGGGGTGCGTTCAAGTGGCCGCATAGGCTGCTGCGGCTGTGCGGACGCAGGTGTGTTCGCGCTGAAGTCGGTCGAGTGGCTTCAGGTCAGCGCGTCTGGGACGGCTCGTTGCAAGGGGTGAATGAACTTGAGGCAGCGAGGTCTTGAACAATGACGCCAGACCAGTCAGGATGGCTAGTCGCCACAACCTTCCGGTACCCTATTCCGTACTGCGATTTTCCCTGGGCAGGAGAATCAGTCACGTGGGGATGGCGCGGGCGAGCAATTATCACGGTGACAGTGAGCCAGTTTGCCGAGCAATCGTCACACCAGCATCGAGCACGGATGACGAAATCGCGGCAATTAACAACTCGGACTTGGACCGCCAAGCCACCGCCGCATCAATTACGATTCCAGTGGCGATTGTGAGAACTGTTAATTGCAGTGCGCATACGGTCCCACGGCAGCCACGTGCTATAAATACTGCACTCCTGGTGCCACCATCACCTTTATCTGCGAATGTCTCTGATGGTGGATTCGAGTGAGAATCCGAACCGTCAGGCAAATAAATTTCTTGTTCCAGTGATTGCATCTTCATCTTCTGAACTGCTACCTGGAACTCGCCTGTTCGCTTCTATCAGCTATTAGTTTTTTTCTTACGCAAGGTGCCGGTGGATACGCAGAGGAAACTCAGTTGAAATTAGGGTCGGATGTGGTTATGTAGCCGCACCTGAGGTAAACGAACCCCAGCCACCTGTAATACTGGACGGTTAATAATGGGGGTTTTTACAAGTGGGGCCGGGGACCGCACAGGCGACGAGGTCAAGTAGTTGTACGCAAAAGAAAAGCTATCGGGAATGCGCGATTGTACTTTTAGGAGTTGAAGAATATTTGCCCTAACCCTCAAATCCTGATTTTAGCCCCAACCCTAA